GGAAGAAGAAGAAGAAGAAGAAGAAGAAGAAGAAGAAGAAGAAGAAGAAGAAGAAGAAGAAGAAGAAGAAGAAGAAGAAGAAGAAGAAGAAAATGCACATGATGGTTCAATCTAGGTCTGTTTGTCTCAAAGCACCTCCGCTTTAATGTAGTACTTATTATCTACATGGAAGTATCTCATATTTTTGTTAACTTATCTGTGTGCTCCTCTCTCTAGAATGTAAACTTCAAAAAAACAAGAACCATAGCTATTTTGCTCCCTGCTGTACCACCAGTGCCTAAGAATTGAGCCTCGTTGACAGTAAGCACTCAAATAAGTACTAGTTGCATCAATACACAAGTTCATGTGTGAAGCAGGACCGTCAACAAACTAAATAGGTCGGGAGATCAGGAAGTCTTTGTGGTGATGTCAAATCAGCTGCTTCAGCGCACAAGTGTAACTGGGCTATACACTCCCCGCCAGGATTCTCGGCATTGGGTCTCTAGCACCTAGCTCCCATTCTTACCCTCACAACACATGCTCACAACCATAAACCTCTCCAACTCCCCGCTAGGAGGAGTCACACCTCTCGACCCTTAAACCCTCCCACCTTCTTCTCTATTTCTCTTTCCCACCCCTCCCGACCAAAGTTCCGGTAGCCTCTGAGTCGCAATGATTGCCGGGAATAGTAGTCTTCCTGTCCAGGCATCTAGCAGCGTAGAGCAATTGGGGAACTACGTTTCCCAGCAGTCCTCGCGGCAGAGGACGGCCGAGTCACCTGACCAGGACACGGGCGGTGCGATGGCGGCGCCCATGCTACGCGGGGTCTCCCCTGTGAGGCGCTGGTCTTTAGCATGGGTGGACGGCGGTTCCAGACACCGAAGAACGTCCCCGAATGGGTCAACTTCCAATCGGATAAGGGAACAGAGCTCAGTGGCCCAGCAGCCCCTCCACACGGCCCAGAAGCCTAGGAAAGGGTATAAACTTTCATATCATTACTGCACAGTTAAGTGTGAAGTGGAAAGCAGAACTAGGGACGTGATAGCCTGTGTAGCCCAGCTTTTGGACGTTTTGTGGGAGGAAGGGTGTTTGCCTATAACAAGAGTCCTGACACCTAGATCAAAGTAAAATGGGCCTTCTCTCAGCCCCTTGACCACAAATAAACCACAGTTTTAAAGTACCCATATTTGAGGAACTCGCTAGTGTAAAATACCAAGTTTTCTTGAGTCGACGTCTGTATTGCCGGAAGAGTGCATCTCATTACTGTGCTGGTCGCACTAGCAGTGGGGTTGGTGATACATAGTGCTACTAAGGGCTGGAAAGGGATCCAGTGTCTACAGGCTCCGTGGAGTGGTGGTATAATGTCATTAGTCAGCAATCGTGAGTTAGAAAACACCAGCTATTTGTGAAGGCGTTTTATGTTGAACATGTGAGACCAAAGATGATATAGCTAACTAAAGAGATCTTCCCTCTGGTTATGTAAAGTTTTGCTTATTTTGCCACATATTTTCTCAACAGCTGTTTATGATTCACTGTGCAAGATTCAAATAGTTTTTTAAAAATACAGAAACATAAGTAAGCCATGTTTCTCATATTTGGTTTTTACTTGGAGCTTGGCGTTATCTTTGCTTTTTAGTTAGAACAGAGAGCAAGTGTCGAAATGCATTGTTTCTTTTCTTTGCATTAATTAGATAACCTTCCTGTGAATAGAAAGTATGTTTTTCTCCCATTTAATGAAACTGCAAACATATTTTGAATAGTGAATTTTTAATTTAATTTCTCTTACATACGGGCGGTGTCTCCAAATGTTAAAAAGAAAGAGTTAATCTTTTTGCAGTACACCAGATAGAGAACTTCGTGTATTGAAATGGTTTTTAAAAACCCCAAACGTGAACAAAAATCTACACAATACCTAAAGTTGCTTAGGAGACGAGCAGGATAGGAACATACATAGATTTCACATGGAATAAGCACAGTTAGCTGGAAGTCGAGTGTGCTAACCCAGCAGAGTAGGAAAGGCCAGATAATAGATATTACTATAGTATTTAACATCTTGTTAGATTTGATAGAACGCAAGCACAAACAAAGGAACCCGAAATCCGATCCCAGAAACTGGAAATGATTAAGAGAGCCAAAAACAAAAAGCTACATCTGATAGTTTCATGTTTTCTTTTGCAAACATTTTCAGGAGTATCATTTAGTGATCTGTTATATCTGTGTCATTCTGGTCATTGTACCTGCAAGCTACTGTTATAAAATGAATTCAAAACAAAGTTGAGAATTTTCTTTTTAGCCATTATTTCTGTTGTAGTATCCTACCACTGACCTGAATTCTAAATGTTTGAAAGATCAGACTTCACTTAAGTGATTAACTGATTAAGTTACAGTTAATTAAAAATTGCTACTTTTTCAATGAAATCAGCCAAGAAGTTGCAGCTAATCCCCATTTCTAAATTGTGTTAAGATACCACATGGTATTGTTCTCTATTGCCAGTGAGCTTCCTAATGCCACATTGTAAACCATTTTTTTTACTAATCTCATTGTAGGTGATCATTATGAATTGCTTTTGATGTAATCACCAATAAACTGACATTTTTAAATGTAAGAATATAAAATTTTAGTAAATTAATAACACAAATAAGAAGTTAGCCTTTGTGGTTTAGGTTTATAGAAATTCATATGTGGTACCTGATGTAACTACTTCTTAACAACTATTTCATTCTTTTTAGTGGACACAAATGGGCAGCTGTGGTAGGATTGGAAATTCATGCTCAGATTTCCTCCAACTCGAAGCTTTTCTCTGGATCTCAAGTGTCCTTTACAGCACCTCCAAATTCTTTGGTTTCTTTTTTTGATGCTTCTCTGCCTGGAACTTTGCCGGTAAGCTTTTTATCTGACCTTTTCATTAGTAAGTGTTATACTAGACATAGATAGTGACTTCCTGTTGTAATCCATTGACACACTCTGTTTAGGGAACTTTGGATAAAGTGGGATGAATTAAATGTTTCTAAAGACTCATCTCTAATTCTGTTTCTAATTCTGAATGTATTCATACATCTGTTTACTCCACACACATTTTAGAATGCCTACTAAATACCAGATACTGTGTTATGAATTTATTTATAAAGATGAGCAAAGGTCCCTTCCTTTAAGGAGTTCAAAGACTAGCAGTGGTGGTGTGTCTTGTAAACAAGTACAGTGTGATTACTTCTGTGAAGGTCATAGCCAGAGGATGGTTTTGGAACCCAGAGGAGGAATACATAATTCAGTAAAAGGAAGGGCTAATATGAGTGTTGTAAAGGGTGTATTTGGTTAAGGAAAGTGGCTGGAAGAGGTGATGTCTGAGCTATTTGAGAAGCCGAGTAGGAGTTAGGCAGATAAATGAAGGAGGAAGAGGAATCTGTAGTCAAAGGTAGCAGCATATGTCACTTGATATGACAATGTAAGATATAATGATTGTGGTTTTTGAAAATTAAGCAGCAATCAATAATGAAGAGTCAACCACAACATGCAGTGATTTAGCTACTCATTTCCACATGCCCGCAAGGAGTGACTGCGTCCAGTGTATCCATCAGCAAGACTTTTATTATGTGTTTTCATATAAATGGGTGAATTTTGAAGAAAAATACGGGACAGCGAAAATGTTTGTGCTAATGAGTAGTTCAAGGTCTGTCTAAGACCTGTAGTATTGACTGGGTGTAGGGTTTCCCGCCATGTTTGAAGAGAACGTGTATACCTGGTAGTAATGGGAGTGGGGGCTGGTCATGGGTGAATTGCATTCTCTCAGACATTTCAGTATAAATGAAAGCTGGTTGAGCTGAGTACCAGCAGGCTTACAGGAACTCTCCACTTTTCTCAAAAATCACTGTTCATGCAGGAAGGTGCTTGGCCTTGCCTCTGCTGTGCCTGCCTTACCTGGGCCTTTGATTGTGTTAGGGCACCATCTCTGTCTTAAACTTTTTCCTTATTTATGCTTTTTATTATGGCGGACTCTCATCTCTAGAAACCATATCTAGGGCTGTTTTTGATTTGCTGTTGGGTCTCTCTAGAGGAATATGGGCCTAGAGGTTGGTCTTCCCACCCCTTATCTTAGAGTAGCTATGTATAGAGTTTTTGTTTGGGGAGAGACAGTTTTTCAGTTATAAACATATGAGGGGTTTTGTTTTGTTTTTGTTGTTGTTGCAGTGAGGCATAGATATAATAGAAATAAAATAATATCTATTCAGACAAATGAAATGGAAGGCAATTTATATAACACCATTAGCTTTTCTTTCTCAGTTGAAAATACTTTTTTCCCGGTGTGGTAATTCACTAACAAGAGACTCAGCATAAACTCTGAGTGCCTTTTAGGTTTTTCCTGCTGGAAATGTGATATCTAGCAGGATACTTACTATAGGTCTCATTTAGAAATAGATCCACTTGCAGATAGGAACATTTTTTTGTAAACAGACAACAGACTCTTAAGTTAGGCCTAACTATAGTCAAATATTACAGTCAGTTCAAAATAACAGGCCAGCAGACTTCTTGTCATGCACCAGAAAAAGTGTTTGTCTGATGATAAGCATGTCAGTAAAACAGTGGGAACATTTGAGCCTTAAGATCTTGGTTTACATTAATTAAATGATACACAGAGGCTAAAAATACAGTTTTGCAAGAGCTAGGATGTTTTTCTTCAGAGCTAACAACAGTCCGTTTAAGTAGCCTGTATGGTTATTCTCTGATCTACTTCTTTTCAGGAACGTTTCTGTCTTTAAAGGTGCTGTTTTAGTACTTGAGTTAAATTATATCAAAACTCCCAGAATAAAACATCACTTACATTTCAAAACTCTGTAAATTGCCTATAAATAGGTTTAAAATGTACTAGAACATTTAAACAGGTGTCCTTCTCTACATTCTATAGAGATAGTATAACGATATCTTAACATTATGACTCTGGATCTGGTAAATACTTGTAACCCTGAATTTGAGAGTATGTTTCTGAGGGCTGGAGTAGAATATTTTGTTATTGTTTTGGTCAGTTAAGCCAAGAAATAGGTATAATTCATGATGATGCTTGGAGCTCAGTCTTCCTGTCTGTTCCATTCTCTCCTCATTCTTTTCCTTAACTCATTAACTGTTTCTTCTCATGTGGCCAGTTTCTGTCACCCAGCCCTGACATGCTGGCCTCCCATCCTTCATTCCTTGGCTCTCACTTCTGTTCCCTGAGTTTTCCTGTATAATCTTTTACCCTCAAATGGAGCTTTTCTCTTGCTGCTAGATACCCAGTCTGTGTTTCTAACGTCCTACTATATATTTCCTTCCAAATACTTCATTTGTATCTTAAATTCAGCACTTACAAAATTGAGCCTATTATCTTTTCTCTCCAAAGAACACACCAGTAAGTGAGGCAAAAGAATCTTTTTATAAATGGATATTGGAGAGACTGTGTGTATATCACATACATAGACACGTGTATATTAAAAAAGGATCAAAAATCACTGGGAAAAGGAAGATCTATCCAACTGGCAGTTTGGAAAGATTGGTTAGCTATTCAGAAGAAAACACCATAGCTCATTTTATACATCAAAACAATATTCAGATGTGTATTTATTTACACGTTAAAAGTAAAATTAAACTAGTACAAAATGCAGACTATTCATTTGTCCCTGGGATGGGAAGAAATTTTGTAAGCATAAAAGCAAGAGGGAAAACTCATAAGACAAAATGATAGAGATTTATCTACTTTTATCATCTAACAAATTTATTGACTGACTAATTCTTTTAGGAACATATCCTAGGAAAATAATGAAATATGTGCGTGAAAACTTTATGCAGAAATGCCTATAGGACTATTTGTAATAGCGTAAAATTGGAAGCAACCAGAATTTCTTGGTGTTGGGAGAATGGTTAAGTTATGTGACATCTATGCAGCGGAACATTGTGAGATAATAATGTTTATGAAGGATTTTTAATAACATAAAACAATGCTAAAGATAAATGTTTTGTTGAGATGAATAGAATTTGCATGTAGATTATTTAATAGTCTTTTGCTTGTTTCTTGTGAAATGTGGATAATACGTATGGCTCATTGCATTGTTGTGAGAATTAAATGAATCAGTGCCTTTAAAAAAATACAGCCACTGCAAGTCATAAGTGCTCCATAATTCTGACCTGTTAGTATAACATGCAGGGACTGGCGGCTTTCATCTTCACAGAGACTGCCCTGAATTATTGAGCATAGTTATGTTGCCAGTGATAGCAGAAATAAATACCCTATACGACACTTGTTCTCTTAACCTGGATTTCACTGGTTACGCGATCTAACCCACAAAACTAACCTGTTGCTCCTGTCACTTCAAGGATATATAGAGAATTGAGGGAGCAATAAAAAAGTAATAGTAATATACTGGGTAAAAGTACTTCTCAATTAGAAATAATGCACTTGCAAAAGAGTAGTTGGTAAGGTTCTTTTTTTAAAATCCATATATAGGAGTTGGATTATATTTTGGTACAAAAAGTAGTGACTGGTTGATTTTCAGATACTCTAATAAGAGAACAGAAAAATATACCCCACAAAAATTGAGATTTGAATGCAGATTTGGGCCTTGTGTACATTTTTTTTGCCCAGCTGCTCATAATTACGGAAACCCAAAGTGGGTAGAAGAGTAGTAGTGCTTTAAACATCTCAAGGTTACTAAATATTTACTGAGTACCTTCAGGTACATAGTATACTCTTTTGACTTAGAAGAAACAAAAAAGATTGTTACTTAAAGAAGTTATGATAATACGTGTCTTTCTGTACCCTTTTGTTATGGTTTGTATCTAGATGTCCCCCCCAAAGCCTCATGTAGTCATTGGTGGGTCTTTTTGGAGGTGGGTGATCTAGGGTGTGTGATGCAGGAATCAAGGATGTGATGCTAGGATTGAGGGTGTGAGTGCTATCTGCCCCGAGGGTGGGTAGTCTGGATAAGATAAGGGACAAAGAGTCCTCGCTTGTTGCCATGCTGTCTTGGTTCCTTTTCTCTCATTGCTGAGACAAAATATCATGTCTGTGCTTGAACTTCAGGCCCTGTTCAGCTCTTTTTCCTCTGCTTTGCAGAAGCTCATGTCATCTGGTTTGTCTTTCCTCTTCCCCTCTCCCTCAGACGAAAATCTCTAAAAATGTCTGTAGAATAAATATGAATACATATATATGTATGATATCATATATATATATAGCTTGGAAGAATTTCAGATATGTACAGATATGTGCTGACATTTGGGCAAGACAGTAAATAAAGCTGCCTAGCTACCAGATTGTCCTAGAGCTGTCATGGCAAACTGTGGCATGCATGCCTCAGCGGGCTGTTTATATCACTGAAAGTTCTAAAAGGTTCGCCATCACTGTCCTAGAGTGAGGGCCATCAGTCAGTCAGCCCTGCAAATTTATATAACCTTTTGAAATCAGCATTTTAGTACCTCACTGTAGAATATAAATTGATAACCAGAATCCCCAGACATTTGAGAAAATTCTGCACCATGATGGATAGAGAATACAATAAATTTATTGAGAATACAATAAAAAAGCTAAAGGATTACAGACAATAGTGCACAGGGTAAAAGGATACTTAAAAATTAAAAGCTGTAATAACTATCAGAATAGTGCTGGAGATGTAGCTCAGTGGCATAGCGCCTACCTGGCAAGCACAAGGCTCTGAGTTCGATTCTTAGTACCAAAATAAAAAATAATAATAATAGATAATCTCTGCATCCTTAAAACAAGAACAGACCACTACCTTTTAAAAATGAACAATCATATTTAGAGATGAGCTCTTTGAAATTAAAATTATGGTGTGTCTATTTCCCACAAATAGCTCCCAGAACAGTTAGAAGATAAAGTCAAGAAAATCTTTCTGAAAGTA